TGGCCCCAAATGTTCTTTTAACGATAAAAATAACATTATTCTGAAACATAAGTGTTATTTTATAATGTAAATTGGAAATGTAAAGAATTTAAAATAATGATGGCAATGTTGAAAAGACAAACAGCGAAGAACACAGTTGAAGGATTTAAGAGAATTCTATGAATCTACTGATAACTATCAGTAAAAGTAAAGTATTGGCATAAATTTAGATAAACAGGATAATGGAAAAATAGGTACTCTAGAAATAATAGAGAGAATGGATAAAAAAATTGTTGTAGGTCAGGGGTTAGAGTGATTGCATAGCAGGTAGGGCATTTGCCTTGCACGCATCTGACCCAGGTTCGATTCCCAGCATCCCATATAGTCCCCTGAGCACCACCAGGGGTAATTTCTGAGTGCAGAGCCAGGAGTGACCCCTGTGCACTGCCAAGTGTGACCCAAAAAAGCAAAAAAAAAAAAAAAAAACTGTTGTAGGTCAAATTCATACAATGGAACTGTATAGAACAATCAAAGGGAAAAAACTATTACCACATTTAACATGGAAAAGCATTTAATATAGACTGATGAGTGATGGAGGTCTGATACAAAAACATATAAAAATATGATTTCATTTGTGTTTGGGAGAGTGGATCACATACAGCGGTGCTCAGGGGATATTACTGCATCTGTTGCAGAAGCAATCTCTGGTGATTGGGGATCATATGCAGTGTCAGGAATTGAACCATTGAAATAGGGTCAGTGTATACAAAGCAAGGGTCTTACCCTCTATAATTTCTCTTCAGTCCCTGATTTAATTTATATATATTTCAAAAACAGGCAAAACATGATCTAGATCATGTTTCTCAACCTTTTTCTGACCATGGTCTCCTTCCAACCTTGTTTCCTTCTTGTGTCTCTCTATCTAACTGGTTGCCTCCTCAGGCTCATCCCAGGGCCTCCATTTATGCAATTTTCACCTGTGGCCCCCTGGAATTATGCTGGGGTTCACAGTGATTCATATGGTCGCTGGTTGAAAAAGACTAATCTAGACTGATGTAAAGTCAGAAAACAACTTTGTTTGGGATGGATTACTAACTAAAAGGGGCATGAGGCAACTACTGGACATTGGGAATGTTTTATATATCTTTTTTTTGGTGGGGGGAACACCTAGTGGTACTCAGGGATCACTCTTGGTAGTGCTCAGAGGACTATAAGTGGGTCAGGGGATCAAATATGAGTCATCCACATGCAAGTCAAGTGCCTTACCCGCTATACAATCCTTCTGGCCCTATTTTATCTAGATTGTGGTTACATGTGAAAAAAAATAAGTTGTCTACATATAAAAGTATAGCTACTGACTTTTATTACTATGCATCCTACTGTGCCATAGAAACAATTAGTACAGTCTGTTGTTTGAATCATGTAGTCAACAGTTATTTGGAAAGCATAGACTACACTAGTAGTCTTAAATTAAAATACTGGCCACCCCAGCTAAATTTGGATAATGTTTAGGGAATAATAATAGCTAAGATATGAACTGGAATCAGGTATTTTTGCCCTCTTTTTCCTCAAGCAGTGATTACAAAGAGAGCCAGCGGAAAACACTAGTGTTTTGAGATCCCATATTGTACCTTCCTTCCTCAAATTACTACATGCTTTGATGAAATAACTGTACTCTGCCTAAGACCTACTATTAACATATGTCCCTATAAAACCCTATAATATCAATATTTATTTTATTATTAAAAATAATTATTTGAAGGGGATTTTGGGTGACACCAGATGTTTCCCAAGACATATTCCTGGCTCTGCACTCAGGGATCACTCTAGGGGAGCTCAGGAGACCCTATAGGGTTATTCGTCGATTGCCTCGAGCAGGCCCCAGTAACGTCTCCTTCATCCTAGCCCTGAGATTTTTAAGAAAGTGCTATATTCAAGGCTCTTTAGGAGAATGAGACCCATCATTGTTACTGGTATTTGGCATATTGGGTACACCACGGGGAGTTTGCCAGATTCTGCCGTGTGGGCAGGTTACATTCGGTAGCCTGCCAGTTTGTCCAAAGCAGGAATGAGATAATAAGATGTCATAATAAGATGTTGCATGGCTGCGAATGCGGTTCCGGGAGCTGGTTTTTATAGTCTCTGAGTCTTGGCCATTGATGGGATTACACGGCGCCAGGCGGCCAGTTGGTGGGTGTGACCCCCGCCGACTGGAATTCGGAGGATCTGGGTGGAGGATGCTCAGCCCCGATCTGAGTAGGCTTGGAGATCTCAGCCTCGGGACCCGCTTGCCTTTGTTCCTCTGCCGGTACCTTCAGGTGTGCGGAGAGTGGTCTCAGCATGGTGGTGGCTAGTCCTGGAGGTCTTTGGCTCCCGGAGCCCTGGTCAGGGCGGGGAGGAAAGCTCAACCTGCTCCCCTCCAAGGGGCCCTGGAGAGGACAGCCAGGCGCGGGGACAGGAGACTGCACTATAGGGTGTGCAGATCTAATTCAGATTGGTGCATGAAAAGCAAGCACCCTATGTGTACTATCTCTCTGACACGAAATAAACATTTAAATAGCTCTGTGTCATGTTATGACATCTTATTGTCTCATTCCTACTTTGGACAAACTTGCAGGCTATTGAATGTAGCCTGCCCACAGGGCAGAGTCTGGCAAACTCCACGTGGCGTACCAAATATGCCAAATACCAGTAACAATGATGGGTCTCATTCTCCTAAAGAGCCTTGAATATAATCTCAGGGCTAGGATGAAAGAGACATTACTGGGGCCTGCTCGAGGCAATCGACAAATAACAGGATGATGAAATGAAAAATGAAAATGTGTCATATACTATTAGGCATTTTGTATCATTATGTTGTTTAACCCCCCAAACACTGTAAAGTATGTACATCTCTATTTTAAAGATGATGACAACTGAGAGTTAGTTTAAGTACCTTGCCTAAGGCAACACAGTAAGAAGCATAGGTTGAATTCAAATATACGTTGACTAATTTGAGAGTTTGATTTTAACTATTATAATCTTGTCCCCACAAACAACATCACTCACTGAACAAGATCACCTCAAGGTTTTAACTTCTATTCTACATTAAAATGTGCAATTACATAGATCAAATTTTAAGTGATCCCAGTTGTAGGGTGACATTGCTTTGTCCTTCTTCCACGAGAAGCTTAGGTTTGTCTGGTTACACCCACCACAGTGCTCCTGAGGCACTTCCATTCCATTGTGTTTATCTGTAAACAGTCTTCCCTATGCTCTCCTCCCCACCCAGTTAATCAGCTTTCCCCCTAATCAGACTCTGTTAATTTGTAAGGTCAGTTTCCCAGAAATCTATGATTTTATTTGTATGAGTGAAATATTGCCTTTCTCCTCTCCTTATGCCTTATGAACTGTTTACCTTAAAGCAATGCCCTTTCTGTGTAGATACAGGAAGACCATTAACATTATGCTTTGTACCTAAGGATTTGATTGGCTTTGAATATTATTCACTCCCAGGCATCTGCTTTCTCAACTTAAGCCTCAGTTGCCCTTAGTTCCTAACACCCCAAAAGCAGGGTCCTGACGAGGGACTGAATGGACCCAGGGCAAGTGGTGAGCTACCCTGGCACCGAAATGGGCCAGGTCAAAGTGCCACGATTCTTAACTATAACTTAAGAGTTTGATCATAGACAAATGCTGTCATGATCCAAAGGTAACGACGAGACTAGGATCCTGCTAGGGGTGGGAAAGGCTATCTGGCCTGAGCACTGTAGTCTGAGATCGAGATGGCCCTAGGAGAGCAATTCTCTAAGTTTGAGATATTTCTTACTGCATCCTTACAAAATGATTTATATTATATATTCTTATATACTTGTGGACAAGGAGAGGAGAAACACACCCTTGGGATTCTGCTCTAGGGTGGGTCATCCTGCTGAGAAAGGATCTGTCCTAGGAGCGGCTTTCCCTGAGGCTAAGATTTCTACCCCTATTGATTCTACCCCTATTGATTACCTATGTCTAATTGTTCCCTCAATTCCTCATGGAGAGAGATATAATGAGACCGTAGAATGGGAAAAAGGGGGCAGAGGCAGAGAAGAGAGACTGGTGTGGCTGGAGAGAGGATCGGAATAAACTGCGACTAATCCCAACCAGCCTGGCCCTCGTTTCCTTCCTCTGCCTGACCATCGCCATCGACCTCCCCGGGGTGGAAGAAGGGTGAGACTACCAAACGAGGGCGGCGGGAGAGATAGAGTCACTGCCGCTGTCTGCTGTGCCCCCTTCTTGAGTTTACACACCCAGTCTCTTTCCATTCCACTGCATATGTATCTTCTTTTCCTGTATCTTCCTTTACTACCTAATGGAAAACACCCTGCCACAGAGGCAGGGTGGGTTGAGGTATGGGGGGGGGGGGGGGGGGGGGGTGGGAGGGATACTGGGATTGGTAGGGATGGAGAATGGGCACTGGTGGTGGGATGGGTACTTGATCACTGTATAACTGAAACCCAAGCACAAAAACTTGTAAGTCTACAACTGTATCTCATGGTGTTTCACTAATAAAAAAAATTTTAAAAAACCACATACACATATGTCACAAGGAGGTCACAAGGACACACTTCCTCGTTTAAGCTTATTGTCCCTTTATAATCATGATTCTTGATACCAGAGAAGCTCAAGCTGTTAAAGAAGAAAGTGGGCAAAATGCCCAGTTTTCAGTACTTATTCACAACTATCCTATACACTTCATGTTTTATAAATTGTACAGAGAACAGACTCATGTGAAGGTGAGGCGCCATATTATATGAGCATCAATCCAAGCCTTAAAGAGTCATTCCTGTATAGTGAGTAAATTTTTCAAGACAAAGCTTCCATGGCTTATGATGCATCATAGCTATTTGTTCTATCACATTATCTTCATTATTATACTCACATAATAGAAAGGAAAAGGAAAAAAATCACTAAAGTACTGGATTAAATGTATTTTCCTGCTGTTAGTAATCAAACAGATTCTTCACATCCTTTAAAATATTATATCCCATACTTACTGAATCCACAAGATTTTCTGTTTTATCTATCAATAATTCCAATCTTTCTCCTCGCTGAGCTACCAGATCTGAAAATATTGGAAAAACAATATGTTTTATTAAAAATGCAATTTTTATATTTGTTTTAAGTCAAATCTGATACTATAGTTGGCATTCTTGATAAATCATATTTGCTACAGGAGATTTATATCTTTAAGTTTTAAAAGACTTAAAGAAAAACTTATCAATTAAAATAGCTGTTGACCAATTTTTTTCTATAAGAGGACAAATACAACATATTGTAGATTTTGTGTGCCAAATTGTCAAAATCACTGAACTCTGTCAGACATAATAAACAGGTAAATTAGTGGGCATATATGTGTTCAATTAAACTTTATATAGAAAGACAAGAAGCAGGCCAGATATGATATAAAGGCTATAGTTTGTTAATCCATATATCAAATATATAATCTGAGAGAAAAAGGGGGAACTCTCAAAATAATTGAGTTGTATGCTTTTAGAACTGGGGTATGAAAAGTCCTGCACACTCTCTGCAAACATAAATGATGAAATTATAAAAACAGAAAGTAACAGCAACAAACATTTAAAACCTCCAAAAACTTCTATGTCCTAAAGACATGCAAAAGAATCTCTTCCCCACCCACTAACTCCCCACCCCAACCCTCACCCTGATTATACTATCAGCACATTTCTCAGAAGAAACATATTGGCCTGGAGTGGATCAATATATTCAAAGTGTTGGAAGGGAAAAAAAGTCAGCTAAGAATACTCTATACAAGCAAGGCTTTTCTTTTGATATGAAGAAAAACCAAATAACTTCCAGCACACCCAAGCTGAGGAAGTTCATCACTGTTCATTAGACTTGCCATGTAAGAATTTTTCAACGGAAAAAAACATTAATTTGTGACATGGTAACATATAGAATAGACCACTGATAAAGGTAAATAGAGGAAAAGAATGCTGTAATAGGATGGTTTGCTAAACAGTTAACCATATTATAAAGATTAAAATAAGAGTATTAGGCAGGCTTCCAACTATGGAGCAATCTTCCTGACCCTTGTATCTACTGTCCTTGGGTGACAGTCTCATGTTATGTTATTTTATACTCCACAAATGAATGCAGTACTTCTATGTATGTCCCTCTCTGACTCATTTCACTTAGCATGATACTCTCCATGTCTATCCATTTATAAGCAAATTTCATGACTTCCTCTCTTCTAACAGCTGCACAGTATTCCACCGTGTAGATGTACCAGTTTTTTTTTATTAGTGAGACACCATGAGGTACAGTTGTAGACTTACAAATTTTGTGCTTGGGTTACAATTATACAATGATCAAATACCCATCCCTCCACCAGTGCCCATTTCACACCACCACGGATCCCAGGATCCCTTCCACCCCCCATCCCCCCCATCCCATCCTGCATCTGTGGCAGGGCATTCCCTCTGTTCTCTCTCTCCTTTTGGGTGTTGTGGTTTGCAAAAGAGGCATTGAGTGGCAACCATGTTTGGTCCATAGTCTACTTTCAGCATGCTTCTCCCATCCTGGGAAGATCCTCCCAACATCCTTTATTTGGTGCTCCCTTCTCTATCTGAGCTCCCTTTTCCCCTAGCATGTGTGACTGGCCTCCAAGTCATGGAGCAAAATTCCTGTACCAGTTTTTTTAACCAGTCATCTGTTCTAGGGCACTTGGGTTGTTTCCAGATTTTGGCTATTGTGAACAGTACTGCAATGAACATATAGGTACAGATGTCATTTCTACTGTGCTTTTCTGCACCCTCAGGATATATTCCCAGAAGTGGTATTTCGGGGTCATATGGAAGCTCAATTTCTAGTTTTTGAAGGACTGTCCATATTGTTTTCCAAAAAGGCTGGACTAGTGGGCATTCCCACCAACAGTGAAAGAGCGTCCCTTACTCCCCACATCCATGCCAGCACTGGTTGCTTTCATTCTTTTGAAAGTATTCCAGTCTCTGCACAGGCAGGATGTAGAGATGGTGTTCAGAGGACCGGGAGCAGCCTCCCCAGGCTCTTCTGGGACACCGGGCAAAGGATAGGCAATGGGCGGACTCCCTGGTATCGTCCCATCTCCCTCTTTATGGCACAACTGTAGTCGTCATTAAGGCTGTAGTCTCAGTCATCACAGTTCCATCATCCTAGTCTCCTTGCAGACCTCAAAGTCTCCCATGTCTCAGTTTTCCTCCGCGTCTTCTTGTCTTCTCTTTGTTGCTGTGCTCTCTTTCTATCTTCTTCCTTTGTGCTCTGCCTCTATGTGTGCTGTTGTGCTCTATCTCACTCTCTGTGTCTCATGCTCTCTAGTCTGCTGCCATTGTCTCCTTCAGTATCTGATCTCTTCTTCTCACCTCTTCTATCTCTGTGACCATGGTGACCTTGGTGACCTCATAGCCTCGTAATCTAACGACACCCAGCCCCTTACCACATAGTTTATATAGAAATCATGTAGGGTGGGGATACAAAGGTGGGGTTGAACATTAACAAATCAGCAAAAAGAGGTAAGGCCACTCCTCCAGGAGATCAACTCAAGGGCAAAATCTCATCTAAGGAGATTACTCCAGATTACTAGGAGATCCACTCAAGGGCAGGATTCCATCCAGGATGTGTTGCCTTCTTCTTTCCTCAGCTAATAATCTACTTAAATAGTTGTAGTAAATTTACTTCTTATATTTCTAGCAATGTCATTTTGTATGAGCACAGTAAGAGATATCAAACTTAAAGTTTGGTTCTTCCTGAGGACATCTCACTATATATTCCAGACCACAGTCCTCAGGCCAGGTTAGCTTTCCAAACCCCAGCAGGGTCCTTATTCAGTTACCTCTTTTGGGTCATGACAGAGTTTGTCCATGACCGTGCTCTTAACATAGTTAAGTATTATGGTGGTTGGCCTGGCCCATTTTGATGCCAGGGTAGCTCACAGCTTGCCCTGGCTCCATCAGTCCCTCATTGGGACCCTACTCTTGGAGTGCTAGAAACTAAAGGCATCTGAGGCTTAAGTCAAGTAAATATGGATGCCCAGGAGTAAATATTATTTTAGAGTCCATTAACTCCCATGTTACATAGCAAAGCATCAATTGTCTTCCTGTGTCTATACAAAAAGGACATCGCTAAATAAGCCATACAAATGACATAAAGGAAAAATATAAGCAATATAGGATTATTAGTTGTGCCTCAGTTACTCTGTTGCAGGAGTGGCTCAATAAACCTTAAGCTCCCTGGGGGAGCAGCAAAGTGTTACCCAACACCCAGGTTTATCTGTGCAAGACAAATGTCCTACCTACTGTACTACTGCTCTAGCCCCATCTTTGCTACATTTTAAATCTGTTGTTTTATTCTAAAAATAAGTTCTTAAAATCAGCTGGAGCGATAGCACAGCGGGTAGGGCATTCGCCTTACAAGCGGCCAACATGGCCGACCCGAGTTCGATTCCTCCGCCCCTCTCGGAGAGCCCGGCAAGCTACCGAGAGTATTCGATATGCCAGACACAGTAACAACAAAGTCTCCAATGGAGACATTACTGGGCCCGCTCGAGCAAATCGAGCAAAATCAGCTGATTAAAAAAACATTTTTTCTGGGAATTTTATGCATCTGTTGTACATAATATGGTAGTAGCTAGCTCATCCTATTTTCAGGCAAGAAAAATATATTTTGTGATAAAACATGAAAAAAATCTATGACACCTCAATACATTTTTAAGGAAAGTGTATTTATTTATGAGCTTTAAGAAGGTCGTTTTGGGTGCCCCACTGTTCTATGACCATGTCACACTGATACCTCTCTGGTGTATGGTGCATGTTGTACTTGATATACCGGCAGTTCAATTGCTCTGACCCTTTACATCCAGTGTTCTCACACTGGTTCTGTATCATGAAGTCTGTTAGTGTCCTGTTCTCTCACTGATTTTCTGTAGTCTGCCCTTGAGGTCTTGTGGCCTGCCTCTCAAGAGAACAGCATACCAGAGAACTATCAGATGAGTTCAAAATGAACAATATAAGAATTACTGGAGTTCCTGCGTAACAGGAAGATGAATCTGATGAAGAATCATACTTAATCGCACATAGTTAACTGATAGAAATCACAGGTAAGAATTTGTGAGAGTTGAGAAATACAGGCAACCATATACAAGAGGCCCGAAGTGTAGGGGCAAAAATAGACACAAATAGGAGACCTCCAAGAAACATTGTATTCAAAATGACAAAAGCCAAAAATTGAGATAGAATAGTGAAAGCAGCCAGATCAAAAAATGTAAAATACATATAAAGGAAGAGTCCCACAAGAGTCACAGCATATCTATGAAGTCTACAAGCAAAAGAGAATGGAGGAGTGTAGTACAAAACCTCAAGGAAATGAACATAATGTCAAAAAGGAAAAAAAAGTTTCAGATGAAAGATTTATTATCTTAAATATATTTATCACTTAATCACTTAATCCCCGTTATTTATCGATTTATTCGAGCGGGTGCCAGTAACATCTCCATTCATCCCGGTTGCGTGCTAGCGTAGCCCAATGGTATCTGTTCGTTCTAGGAACATGCAGAGCCTCAAACCGATCATTTAGGGTCTTGACGAAGAAGTCTGACCATCTTATAGGTGGGCGTCCACGTGATCTTTTGATGTCCCGTGGAATCCAATCAGTAATGGCTCTAGTCCAGCGGTTGTCTGTAAACCTCATTACGTGTCCAGCCCATCTGATTTTTGATGTCTTGGCAAATGAGACAGCGTCCCTGATTCTTGAGCGTTGACGAAGATCAGAACTCCGGATTCTATCTCTCATTTGAGTGAATCGTGATATTCCAAGCATAGTTCTTTCGATTCCTCTTTGAGAGACCCGAATAGCGTTCTCATCCTGTTTTCGTAGGGTCCAGGTCTTTGAGGCATATGTTAATGCAGGAAGAACAGTGGAATCAAAGAGATGTGCCCGGAGCCGGAGGTTCTTCATCCTCTTAGCTATTTCTTCGATGTTCTTGAAGGCGTTCCAAGCCGCTCTCTTCCTCCTGCGCAGCTCGGGTGCCAGGTCATTTGTCATGTTGACCTCTCGACCTAGGTACACATAGCTGTTGCATTCGGAGATGGTCATTCCGTTGAGAGCGAATGGGGCGTCAGGAACGAGGCTGTTTCTCATAAACATTGTCTTCGTAAGATTCAGCTGTAGTCCTACCTTTCCACACTCACGGTCAAAGTCGGCCAGCATTTGTGCCGCTTGGCTGATGTTTGGTGTTATTAAAACAATGTCATCAGCAAAGCGAAGGTGGTGTAGTTGCCGACCATCTATCTTTACTCCCATTCCTTCCCATTCTAGTTGTTGCATGATGTTCTCGAGGGTGGCACTGAAGAGTTTTGGTGAAATGGTATCACCCTGCCGAACCCCTCTCTTGATATGGATGATTACTTCTTTGTAGAATGGTGAGATTTTGGTAGTGAATCCGCAATAGAGCTCACGAAGGATCCTGATGTATTGAGTTTGTACTATATTAAATATACTAGAGTTTATATATATGTGTATCTATATCTATATGTAGCTGGAGTTCTAGACTTATCTTTATACCAGAGACTATAAAAACCAGCTCCTGGAAGTGCACGGCCGCATTTGCTGCCGCGTGACATCTTACTATCTCATTCTTACTTTGGATAACCTGGCAAGCTAATGAATGTAACCTGCCCACATGGCAGAGTCTGCCAAACTCCCGTGGCGTACCCAATATGCCAAATACCAGTAACAATGATGGGTCTCATTCTCCTAACCCTGAAAGAGCCTTGAATATGGCACTTTTTAAAATGTCAGGGCTAGGATAAAGGAGATGTTACTGGTGCCCGCTCGAGGCAATTGACAAACAGGATGATCATGATCATGATCGTCAAGAATATGCTATCCTAATGCCCCAACGTAGAGAGAGTATGGGGGGGAAATTGTCTGCCATAGAGACAAGGGGAGAGGTGTAAAGGGAGGAGTATCCTGGGGATATTGGTGGTGAAGAATGTGCAATGGTGGAAGGATGGGTGTTTGATAATTGTATGACTGAAACTCAAACATGAAAGCTTTGTAACTGTATCTCACGGTGATTCAATTAAAAAATAGAATATGCTATCCAGTTAGACTGTGATTCAGACTGAAGGAAGGATACAGAGCTTCAGAAACAGGCAATAACTTAGGGAATTCAGAGTCTTGAAACCAGTCTTGCTAAAAGTGTTAAAGAAGCTTCTTTAAATTCAAGACAAACATCTGAGCTAGGGAACACAGTTCAAAGAAAAACAGAAAACAAAAAAAAGCACTTGGATTTTGACCACAGAACTGAGGTTATAAGCTGAAAGGGAGGAGGGAGTTCAACAGACTGTGGTAGAAGGGCTCTGGCACTGTGATGTTAGGTATGGTGTGGTAACTGACATTTGACGAAGCCTGAAACGTTACTCTAAAACATTTGTCTATAAGACACACACTCTTATTTTTTTGGAGGGGGCTTTGGCCACGCCTGGTAATGCTCGAGTGTTACTCCTGACCCACTCCTGGGTTACTCCTGGCCCACTCCTGGTAATGCTCGAGGGTTACTCAGTAATTACTCCTGGAAGTGCTTAGGGGACAATATGGGATGCCAAGACCAAACCTGGGTTTACCATGTGCAAGGTGAGTGCCCAATCTGCTATACTATCACTCTGGCCTCCAAGACATATAGTGTTATAAAGAAATGCTACCTTAATATATACTTTTTGGATTGGGGTCACACCTGGCAATGTTCAGGGATCACATGTGGTGCAGGGGACGAAGCCCCGGTGAAACAAGGGCTGGCCATGTGCAAGGCAAGCACCTTAACCCCAAAATTATCTCTCCAATCCCAAACTGAATGCATTTTTCAAATGTAGCAATAATTATAATCAAATGATCATTTATAAAAACTAACATTTAAATCTTATAAAACTATTACATAATAATTTAAATTTGATTTTACTAAAGTTATTGTCTGTGAGATATTCCCTTTAGAAAATACATTTTACAAAATGAATCACAAACTTGAGTCTGTGTTGGAGATTCTGGAAAGGCCTATAAAACACCAACTACTGGATCCAACCCCTACCACTTTTGATTCAGTAAGTCACAGCAGAGCCTGGCAAGATTCAGTAGGTCACAGCAGAGCCTGGCAAGCTGCCCGTGATGTATTCGATATGCCAAACACAGTAACAACAAGTCTCACGATGGAGACGTTACTGGGCCCACTCGAGCAAATCGATGAACAACGGGAGGACTGTGACCGTGACTAAAGTCTAGGGTAGGGACTGAAAACATGAGATTATCTGGTGATTATGCTGTTGGCAGGGAATATACTGTGAAGTATCAATGCTTTTTAAAAAATACCCTCACCATAAATCTAAATAATTTTATTCTCAATTAAAAATAAAATTGATGGTCTAGTAATGAAACATAAACCAATGAAACTGACATAGAAGAATAAGTCAGGTTGTTTGGTCTACTTCTCTTAATCAAGAATATAGCTTTCTAAGGAGATCAAATACTTTATCATTATCAGCTATGCAGACTAGCCAAAACTGATAAAATTATACCTAAGATATCCTATGTGAAAACAGGCTATGAACAACAGTCTCCTTGGTAGCATATGCTGGCTGTTGCTTGCATAGGCTGTCCTAAGTGACAGAGAAATGATCCTTTGCAATGGACATTCACAATTTCTCTCAGGATCCACATTAGAATGAGGGGTGCCTCTGGAAAAACCTTGGGCATGGTGCCTAGAGTCCACATTGGACAAGTCAAGTGCAATCATCTCTACCAAACAGGGCATGTGACTAAGGTTCTGAGATGGACCAAGTAAAAGTTCCCTTGCAACTTCTTCAAGAAATGGGGCTTTATACATTTAATGCAAAGGAGTATGAAGACACAATTTCAGTCACACTGAAAGTAGTTCATCCTTGCATGCTAAAAGTAGACTATAGACCGAACATGATTGCCACTAAATGCCTCTTTTGCAAACCACAGCACCCAAAAGGAGAAAGAGAACAAAAAGGAATGCCCTGCCATACGGGTGGGGTGGGATGGAGGGGATGGAGGTGGGGTGGGAGGGATACTGGGATCACTGGAGGTGGAGAATGGGCACTGGTGGAGGGATGGGTACTCAATCATTGTATAACTGAAACCCAAGCACAAAAATTTGTAAGTCTACAACTGTACCTCTTGGTGTTTCACTAATAAAAATTAAAAAATAAATAAAAATAAAAACTTGAGGTCAAAAAAAAAAAAGAAAGTAGTTCATCCTACATGGCTGTGGGGCCAAATCCCTATGCCGATTTCTATACCTCTGGACAATAGTACAACACTCAATAGTCTCAAAAATTCCCCCTCGTTAGACATGCCATCTAGTAAATTCTACTTCCTATCCCCTCCCTGTAAAATGTCTGTCTGAATTGCTGAACTTTCAGAAATTAGACTTCCTAAGCAAATAAACAAATTTACAATAAAGAACTAAACCAGTAATCCCTATTAAGACACAAATCATATGTTAGGTAATATCATAGGTTAGGTTATCTCCATATCTCAGTTAATAGTTTCCAAGAGTATATAATAACAGTATTAATTCAACCTATTTATATTTTGATCCCATTCAAGTCATCTATTATCATTTTTACCCAATGAATGTGGACTATTCCATGAAGCTTACCTATGTTTCTGACCATGATTCCTTTCAGTTCATCCACTTGGGCTTGAGTCTCCACTACTTTGTCTAGACCCTTGTTCTCAGAGTGGTGTTTCTATAAGAAATTAAGATTTAATTTATGATGAGCAGACATTATTTATAATAGAAAAACAAAAGAAAAAGGAATGTAACTGAAGAATGCCATAAAATTATCTCTCTACTGATACAATATATATGTTACTTCATTCAAAAATAGTTATTAGACCTGGGATAAATGCAGCATTAAAATAATCATATAGGAAATATAAATATGACATTATAAAAAGTATCACATTATTTAAAATGAAATAAAGTTAAAGGTATTGTAATATCAAATATATGTCTGGGAGTCCAGGCAGAAATAAGATGTTACATAACCTAATCTCATACAATTAAGAAATATAGGGGCTGGAGCAATAGCACAGCGGGTAGGGCATTTGCCTTGCAAGTGGCCGACCCGGGTTCAATTCCCAGCATTCCATATGGTCCCCTGAGCACCGCCAGGTTAATTCCTGAGAGAAGAGCCAGGAGTAACCCCTGTGCATCGCCAGGTGTGACCCCCCCCAAAAAAAGAAAAAAATAAATTAAATAAATTGTATCTGTAGTTGGAGCAGGGATAACAGGACATGAAAAGGAAATCCAAAATGTTCCCCAATTCTTAAGCATGATGAGGTAGGAAACAACCCAGCTTCTGACCATCTATTTTTGTAATTTTTATTTTATTTTTATAAAGTTGTTCACAATAATTACATTTAATATTTGAATACCAATCACACCACCATTACACTTTCCCACCATCATGTTTCGAATGTTTCCACCCTGAACCCCAAACCCTGCCCCCAAAGCAGAACTGAAATAATTTATTTTTTATTGATCATCTACTTTTATCTGTTGGGATCTAAGTAATTATCCTATTTTCAGTGGCTCTTTATATTATCTAGAAACGTAAGACACAGATGATCGTATTTATTTTGAAATTATTATCAATGTCAATAAATAAGAAGTACTTAATACATAATATTCTTATCATGTCAGTATGATAAATGCTTCAGATAGGGGATATCATTTAATCAATTAAAAACATGGGGCCAGAGCGATAGTACAAAGGCTAGGGTGTTTGCCTTGCACACGGCCAACCTGAGTTCAATCCCCACATCCTATATGGTCCCCCCAAGCACCACCAGGAGTAATACCTGAGTTCAGAGCCAGGAGTAACCCCTGAGCATCACTGGGTGTGACTCAAAAAGTAAAAACAAATAAATAAAACTATGATTAAAATGCTATTAATATCATTTGTACACAAGAAAACTGTCAGAGATTTGTACAGAGGGTCCTCAGAGACCTGGAACTAAAATAACAAATTGGTTAGGTTAAAAGTTTTGCTACCAGGGCTGAGAGATAGTACAGTGAATAGGGAACTTGCACAAGGCCAACTCAGGTTCAATTCCAGGATCCCATATGGTCTCCTGAGTAGCACCAGGAGTAATTCCTGAGTACAAAGCCTAGAGCAACCCCTGTGCATCGCCACGTGTGACCCAAAAAGCCAAAAAAAAAAAAGTTTTGCTACCAGCTGACCTATTGGTTTACTTTGTACTGGTATTTTTGGTGATTTTTTACAGGCTCACATACATAAATTTTTACTAAAGGGAAGGAATAATGAACCAACTGATTGAATAATAAAGATATATAACCAATTAGAAGACGATTTCAGAGAAATTGATCATGGTCCTCCCGTTGTTCATCGATTTGCTCGAGTGGGCCCAGTAACATCTCCATCATGAGACTTGTTGTTACTGTGTTTGGCATATCGAGTACGTCACGGATAGCTTGCCAGGCTCTGCCGTGCGGGTGAGATACTCTCGGTAGCTTGCTGGGCTCTCCGAGAGGGGTGGAGGAATCGAACTCTGGTCGGCCATGTTGGCTGCTTGTAAGGCAAATGCCCTACCGCTGTGCTATCGCTCCAGCCCCTATATTTCAGAGAAATATAGGAATAAAGTGTTATATAATTTTTCTAGTTTAAAAAGGATGTTATGAGACAGGGTAATGGTACAGCAGGTAGGGTGCCTGCCTTTCTGAAAAAAATGTTAAGAAGAACATCCAAAGGGTAAGTGAAAAAGAAGGTATTCAGCTACAGTAACTTCTTCTCAAAACAAAAATAGAACTTACATATTTACATTCAAATAGTTTAATAATAAAGGTATGCACTTTGGAAAGTCTCAAATTTAGTCATCAGGGAAGTGAAAATAAAAACAATGAATTACCATTACATACATTCTCAGATAGATAAATAAAATTAAAAACACAGACTATAATAATTGTGCATAAGGATGCAGAAAAACTGAAATTTCAGGTGGGAAAACAAATTATCTGCCACTTTGGGAAAAAAAGCTTGATGAGTTATAAATTTAAATATCACTCACTGTATGACTCAACAATTATACCAGAGTTTTTACCAAAAATGTGTAAAAACAAAGGCTCACACAAATATTTGTCGAAGAATATAAATATCAGATTTATTTGAAATAAGTGAAAATTGGTAGCACTCAACTCTCTAGTAAAAGGTGACTGGATATCCAAATTGTGGTATAGTCAAAGCTACTCCATTAAAAAGGAAATAATAATTTACAAAATGTGCATGAATATAAAAGGCTTTACACTGAACCAAGTAAAACACAAAAGAGTATAAAATAGTATGAATATATTATTTGAAATTCTAGAAAAGCCAAAATAAACTCACAATGATAGAAAATGGAAAATTAGTTGCATGGAACAGAGTGTAGGGGAAGAGAGAAATGCAACAAGCTATGACAGACCCTTGAAGATCATGGAAAATTTGCTCCACGATTGGAAGTCGGCCTCATGAGCTGGGGGAGAAGGCACCTGGGATAGAGAAGGGATCACTAAGTCAATGATGGTTGGAGGGATCGCTTGGGATGGGAGATGTGTGCTGAAAGTAGATAAAGGACCAAACATAACGGCCTCTCAGTATCCATATTGCACACCATAATGCCCAAAAGTAGAGAGAGAGTAAGAAGGAAATTCTCTACCATAGAGGCAGGGAGTGGGGTGGGGTTGGGGGCTCGGGGAGTGGCAGGAGAGATACTGGGGACATTGGTGGTGGAAAATGTAAACTGGTGGAGGGATGGTTGTTCAATCATTTTATGACTGAAAGTCAATCATGAAAGCTTTGTAAGTGTCTCATGGTGATTCAATAAAAAAAAATAAAAAGCCATTTGCCATGTTGAGCAACTTTCTGTAATTAGAGGGTAGTAGAAGTTGTCGAGTGTCAATGCATTTGACAATCTGTTTCTGTTTTTCTGGCCACACCTGACTGTGATCAGGGCTTCCTCCTCGCGCTGTGCTCAGAGATCGCTCATAGTATGGTGCTCAGGGACCATTATGTGATGCCAGGAAATAAATGTAAGTCAGCTGTATGTAAGATAAAACACCTTACCCCCCTGTACTATCTCTTGGCCCTGTACTTGACAATCTGGAGATACTCTTACAGCTGTAAATAGAAAAGATAACCAAGTATTAGCTGTCTAACCTAAAATGTCCCAATTGATTTTTCCTTTACCACAGAAGCTTATTATGTTGGTGTAGGATAAAATTGGTTTGTCCTCTCTGTCTTGCCACAGGGAGCTTAGGTTTACTGGGTTACAACCATCACAGTGCTCCGGAGGCACTCCCATTCCTCTGTGTTCATCTGTAACCTCTTTCTTTGTGCTTTCCTTCCCCAACCTGTCAATCACCTGTATCTCCTAATTGGACACTGTTAACTTGTAAATATTGCTTTTCTCTTCTCCTTACATCCTTTTTTATAGTAGCTTCAGAGCAATGTCCTTTTTGTATTAACATAGGAAGACAGTTAATGCTATGCTTTTGTAACTTGGGAGTTAACTGACTCTGAATATTCACTCTAGGGCATCTGTTCTCTCACTGAAACTTTACTTGCTCTAACTTCCAAGCACACAAAAAGTAGAGTCCCAATGAGGGATGAACCTAGAGAAAGCTGTGAACTACCCTGGCATCAAAATGGGCCAGGTCAAAGTGCCACAATACTTAACTCTAAGTTAAGAGCATGGTCATGGACAAATTCTGTCATGATCCAAAAGGTAACGCTAAATTAGGACCCTGCTAGGGTTAGGAACGACTAATCTGGCCTGAGCACTGTAATCTGAGATCTACAGTGAGACGTCCTTAGGAGAGTCATCACTTGATCACTTGACTTCCTGTTAATCGGCGATTTGCTCGAGTGGGCGCCAGTAACGTCTCCATTCGTCCCTGTCGCATGCTAGTGTAGCCCAATGGTGTCTGTTTGCTCTAGGAACATGAAGAGCCTCAAACCGATCGTTCATGATCTTGATGAAGTCTGACCATCTGGTAGGTGGGCGGCCATGCAGTCTTTTGACATCCCGTGGAATCCAGTCAGTAACAGCTCTAGTCCAGTGGTCGTCTTTAAATCTCATTACGTGACCAGCTCATCTGATTTTTGACACCTTGGCAAACAAGACAGCATCCCTGATTCTTGATCGTTGACGGAGGTCAGAACTCCGGATTCTTTTTCTCATTTGAGTGAAACGTGATATTCCAAGCATAGCTCTTTCTATTCTTCTTTGGGAGACCTGAATGGCGTTCTCATCTTGTTTGCGTAGGGCCCAGGTCTCTGAGGCATATGTTAATGCAGGAAGAACAGTGGAATCAAAGAGATGTGCCCGGAGCCGGAGGTTCTTCGTCCTCTTAGCTATTTCTTCGACGCTCTTGAAGGCGTTCCAAGCCGCTCTCTTCCTCCTGCGCAGCTCAGGTGCCAGGTCATTTGTCATGTTGACTTCTCGACCTAGGTACACATAGCTGTTGCATTCAGAGAGTTTCGTTCTGTTGAGAGCGAATGGGGCATCAGGAATGAGGCTGTTTCTCATAAACATTGTCTTTGTAAGATTCAGCTGTAGTCCTACCTTTCCACACTCACGGTCAAAATCGGCCAGCATTTGTGCCGCTTGGCTGATGTTTGGTGTTATTAAAACAATGTCATCAGCGAAGTGGAGGTGGAGTAGTTGCCGGCCACCTATCTTTACTCCCATTCCTTCCCATTCCAGTCGTCGCATGACGTTCTCGAGGGTGGTACTTGAAGAGTTTTGGTGAAATGGTATCAGCCTGCTGAACCCCTCTCCTGACGTCGATGATCACTTCCTTTTAGAATGGTGAGATCCTGGTAGTGAATCCGCAATACAGCTCACGGAGGATCTTGATGTATTAAGTTTGATCTTTATCATCCCATATGGTCCCCTGAGCACTGCCCGGATTAATTCCCAAGTGGAAAGCAAAAAGCAACTCCTGAGCATCACCAGATGTGGCCCCCAAATATATACATATATATGTATTTTATATATATATATTTTTTTAAATGTTTTCTCCTATATTCATGGTGCCTTAAGGCAGCTTTCTTCATCTGCAGGGCATATGGCCTCCTGTAAGACTCAGGATATTCCAAGATACCACGGACAAAATCACCTAAGTGGGGATCCATGTCATGTCAACCAGTAGGACATGGGGGTTATGGGAAGAAAACAAGGTTAGAAGGCAGTCACGGTTGGGAAAAAAAAGTTCAGAAACACTGCTTTAAAGTAATAAAGAAGACAGAAATCAAAATACTATATTCTGAGAAAGACCTTACCAGCTGTGCAGCCAAGACACTTGAGAACTCACTATTCATGGCATACGGAAGTGCTGTCTGTGCTCTTGAACCATAGGTAGTCTGGAACCTCTTCTTGATCTCATTCAGAAAATTAAAGGCTCGGGAACGTTCAAAATCCTGGAAAAACAGCATTGCAGAGTTTACTTTAGAAAGTCAACGATGATATTGATCATTAACATAATAAAAACTATAACACCAGTTAACATTTACTGAGCAAAGATTTTATGAGTAGTGGTGTAGCAAAATCATTTTCAGATAAAGAAAACAAACCAGAAAATATAACTAGCCAGAAAAAAATCAACAACTAGTAAATGAAAGAAATTAGTATCCACTTGAAATATTGTATTACTGGCAACTGAGGATAAGGCTACCTAGATAAAACTTACAGGCAGGAATTGATTATAATTTCATTCCTTTCATGGGACCTTGTGAAATTTCCTGCACAAGAAGATACTTAACAAATTCATACTAATAGCATAGCCTTTCAAAAACATAAAGATAATAGTACTGACATAACCTAGATTTTTTCTCAATAGAGGTGATATGGTTGAAAAGATAAGTGAAGCATTTTTAATTCTAGGAAATTCAAAACTGTTGAAACACATATATACACATATATAGATAAAATAATAGCTCAATCAAAAAAGAATTCAATCTGATCATCCCAAAGTTAGTGCAATTTCTTATATGCTCCAAGAAAATCCTGTGAAACCAGCAATAAAACTCACAAAGATGATCACTGCACTTGCAATTCATCTCTAATTCACCCAGATCTTTAGTCTAACTAAGCCAGGGCTTCTTGAACTGGGGTCACTGGGGTCACTGGTACAAATTTAAGTGGTCTATTTAAATGTATTTTTTAAACCTGTAACAATCACAGTGACCAAAATAAAAATTAAAAAAATGCAAACAAAATAATGGTAGGGAGCTTTACGGTGAGTGGGTTTCTGGGGATAATAGTACTCACTGATGGTCAAGGTATTGCTTATAAGAATGTTCTTTTTATGAAAATTCATTCACCTAATAATTAATAATTTGTGATATTTTCTATAATATATATGATAAGCTTCAATAAAAATCATCTTGAAAGATATAGTAACTGGTTCATAGAAAACAACCTACAACATTCTTTTCACTGATTTTTAATTTTAACTTCAATTATGAATGTAGGTAACAAATCAGAATATTAAACAACACTGTGGCTTTGTAACCAAGAGATCCTTTTTTCATATACCATTCATAACTGACATCTCAAAATGACATTTGTGTGCCATTACTTCAAAGTTACCATTACATTAGATTCATTACTATACTTTTGCTCGAGCGGGCCCAGTAACGTCTCCATTGGAGACTTTTGTTGTTACTGTGTCTGGCATATCGAATACTTATTATTTAAGAATTCATAAAGAAGTAGATATTACTATTTTAATCTTAAAATACCTCAATCTTTTATTTCAATAAAATCGGTACATTTAAAATCATGTGCTTTATTTCAAAAGTTTACAAACATTCTGGAGGAGCCCACAAGCATCAAAGAGATCTGTGACACAAAAAGGCTGAGACCCCTACTAGTGTCAATCATATCTGTTTCATGCCTCTTGTCAGTGATTTACTTATTCATTTAATTTGAATTTTATGATAAAATTTTAAAGCGTTTTTTTAGGCTTTTTGGATCACACTTGGCGATGCACAGGGGTTACTCCTGGCTCGGCACTCAGGAATTACTCCTGGCGATGCTCAGGGGACCATATGAGATGCTGGGAATCGAACCCAGGTCGGCCACATGCAAGGCAAATGCCCCACCCACTGTGCTATCATTCCAGCCCCAATTTTAAAGTGTTTTAAATTTACTTTTTAATATTAAAAATTTTACTGTGGATATAGTCTAACCTTTTAAGAATCTCTGGCATGAGTATTGTTGAAATGATAAAATTCTCCAAAAGATCATTCTAATATTTCATTCAAAAACTAATGAGCTGATTTTGAACAGTATGATAGTGGAAAGAAGGAAAAAAGTACATTTGAAATCCTCTTCCTGCATTTCCGTCCTAAAAGTGATGACTTTTATCTGTATTTCACTGTGCCATCCTAAGTAAGAGTAATAAATTTAGAATTAAGTAAATCACTAGTCTTGGCCAATAAGAAATAAAAAGAAGTCCATTTTGAAAGCAGAGGGAGGGAAGGGTATGCTTCTGGGAAGTATTTCTTTAATAATACAATAATAGAATTAGAAAACATTTCCTCTTTACTGGACATAATAAATTAGTATGTCCAGTAAATATATATAATATGTATTATATATATTATATATAATACATATTATATAGTATATAATAAGGTATGTCTAGAAGGAAGCCAACACTGTAGAGAGCAGAAGAAAGGACACTGACATTAAAAGTTATTAAACATTTTGGGTCTAGGGCCTATGAAACACAGCTATAGGTTTGCCAAAAAGATAATGACTCATTGTAAGTTTGTTACCCCAAATTCCACAAACATTTAAAAAATCCCCTATTGACGAGAAAAAACAATCTACTTCATATTTCAGATTGATAACTTCTGAGAGTATTTGATATCAAAGGGACTGAATTTGAACATCAATTCTCACAAAACAACAGGATAAATGTCAAAGTTGCAAGAGGTTAAATTAAAACTGTGTCAAAACTTAGGAAACTTGGGGCTAGAGCAGTAGCACAGTGGGTAGGGCATTTGCCTTGCATGCGGCTGACTCGGGTTCGATTACCAGCATCCCATATGGTCCCCTGAACACCGCCAGGAGTAATTCCTGAGTGCAGAGTCAGGAGTGCCTTGCCGGTTGTGACCCCAAAATTAAAAAAACCTTAAGAAACTTGCATTTATCAAGTTTTAACCTTTCTTACATTTGTTGTTTAATATAATAAATGCAAAGTATATGGAAAATTCTAGCAATGAAAAGTTCAATTACATTTGCCCACCACAGATACAGATAATTAAAAACCTATTCTATCAGCAGTATACAAAGTTAAATAACAGTATGTATTCAGTTACTTACATCATCAGTGATACAAAGATAAACAATCCTGTCTTGGCAGATGTAATGAAATAAATAACTGTAGAATAAAAGATATGAAACTTACTGTGGTTAGAAACAAAATAATGAGCAATCTCTAAGTATAAGTATTTCAAATGTCACCATATTATTTACACATATAATCTTTATTCTCCTTCTCTCCTTCCACTATGTAACTTTTTCTCAATTCAAACTGGTAGAAACAAATATGAGAAGGTCTCCAGCCTAGCTACATAGAACAATAGTATACATATTACCTATTAAAAAGATAGCTGCAGAGTCCAGAGAGATAATGCAGCTGACACAAGTTTAGTCACTGGCATCCCATACAGTCCCCTAAGCAATGTCAGGAGTGATTCTGGAGTGCAGAGTCAGGAGTAAACCCTAAGCATCGCTGGGTGTGACCCCAAAATAAAAACAGATGAACAAGCCAAAAAACCCAATAGCTGAAAAACCATAATTGAACTCTTAAGTTCTAAACATCAGATGACATCTTAGAGGAACACAGAATTAAGAAGACCCCCATAGTCCATACAATCTTCCTTGCCTTCTCTTAAAGTCTTAAAGCAAACATTTTTTCCTACCAAGTACTCAATAATAGTTTGGTGTCTACTTTGAGCAAGTTACAGGGCTGAGTACTGAGGACATGAATAAGTAAAAGTATTAGATCTTGCCTTCGTAGAGATCACAGTGCAGGGAATTACATAACAGTTTGGTAAGTAAGAGGAAGAATTAACAGCATTGTATAGAGCACTGTGGAGACATAAGTTAAAGGTATCAAGAAAGAATTCCTAGAACATGTTGTGTCTACGCTGAAATGTGATGAATAAAAAGCGGCAAAGTAAAGATTAAACAAAGAGTATTCCAGAGTGAGAAACAAGAAGCCTAAGGGCCTGGAGCACATACTGGGTTTTGAAAAATGTAAGTAAATTAAAAAAACTTGACTATAGATTATAAGGAAAAGATTGCCTCTACATATGAGGCTGGAAAAGTAAGAAAATACTGGGTTATAAAAGTCTTTATAAACCACACTCTGCCTTGTCCTAAAAGTTAATGAACAAGCAGCAAAGGATTTTAACTAGAAGAGTGTGAAAAGAACAAGGTCAAATGCTGGATGTTTTCACTAATTTGTGATATGCAGATTTTCATTTTATAAAGCACACTTACAGTGTTGAGAACTGAATGAAAGGAGAACTGGACAGAATATGACTTAAATAGAGCCAGTAAGATATGATGAGGTAAATAAACAATGGAGGTGAGGCAAAAGAATAATTCAATTTTCCTACTAGATTTCTACCTTGAGCAAGTGGATAGACAGGAAACACATGTTAGATTGATCTAATTTACTTTTTGTTTTGAAGCCACACCTAGCAATACTCAAGGCTTACGCCAGCCTCTGTGCTCAGGGATCACTCCTAGTAGGGCTCAGGGGACTACCAAACCCAGATCAGCCGCATGCAAGGCAAGTGCCCTACCCTCTGTGCCATATCTTTGGCCCTAGATTTCATTTTTGAGATCTACAACGAGGCTTGATATGAATTATATGAGGTACAGGAATTCAGGCAAAATGTCTTCCTCCAACCATTTTAAAACTACTCATAATTCTATTACAGAACCCACATCACCATATCCAGTGGCTCCCACTGAAACATCTAATAATGCTGACAGCTCCCTACTCCTGGGAGGTATTTTCTCACTACTAGATTTTGACTTCAGCAACCCTGCTTTTGTCACAGACTTCTGGGAAGATGGTATCCACTCCTGTTTTGTTGATGATTGTTTTCAGTTATTACAATTATGCAAATAATCCCCAAATATAGGTCTGACACTTCCTGAGCTCTAGGCTGAGTTACACTACCATTGGTTAGATATATCCAGCTGGAACAAATCACAGACAACGTAAAATCACTTGTCCAAAATGGAATTCCTATTTTTCCCATAAAACTTGTTTCTACCAAACCACACTCAGATGTCAAGAATGGTCTCAGCCATCAAAGAGCCTCCCATCTGGGACTGATGAAAAACAGACTTTAGGCATTATAGAGTATAAGTGTAATACAATGGATAAACATAAGGTTCTATGGAGATAAACATAAATGGGGTGCCTGAACCACTTTTGGAGATCATGGGATTCTAGAAGAGGAAACATAAATTCAGAAAGACAAAACCATATGTTTACATAAATTCAGGAGAACAAAATCAAATTTTTAGCTAAGTATAACTGAAAGACAAAATGTAGGGCAATCACATATAAGAACAGGAAGGGAGCAGGGGGAGATAATGAAGAATTTTCCAAATCATGTTAAGGAGTTACTCAGAAAATAGTGAGTATCTGCTGAGAGAAGGAAAATAATCAGAACTACTCTAAAAGGAGAGAAGAATAAAAAAGATAATTTATAAAGTATAGGATAACATCAGTTTGACCTTTCTCCCTTGCCACAGGGAGCTTAGGTTTATCAGGTTATACCCATCACAGTGCTCCTGAATCACTCCCATTCTTCCGTGTTTTTCTGTAAACTCTTTTCTGTGCTCTCTTCCCCAACTTGTCAGATCCTTCTAAGGACACTAGACTTGTACTGTAAGTCAAATATTGCTTTTCTCCTTCTCTTATGTCTTTTGCATAGTTTACTTTAAAGCAGGGCTGGAGGAGACTGGAGTGACAGCACAGCAGGTAGGGCATTTGCCTTGCACACGGCCAACCCAATATCGATTCCCAGCATCCCATATGGTCCCTTGAGCTACCACCAGGAGTAATTCCTGAGTGCAGAGCCAGGAGTAATGACAGGTGTGACCCAAAAAGCCAAAAAGCCAAAAAACAAAACAAAACAAATAAAGCAGAGCTGGAACAATAGCACAGTGGGTAGGGCGTTTGCCTTGCACACGGCCAACCCGGTTGACCCGGGTTCGATTCCTCTGCCCCTCTTGGAGAGCCTGGCAAGCTACTGAGAGTATCTCACCAGCACGGCAAAGTCTGGCAAGCTACCCATGATGTATTCGATATGCCAAACACAGTAACAACAAGTCTCACAATGGAGATGTTACTGGGCCCGCTCGAGCAAATTGATGAAGAACGGGAGGACAGTGCAGACAGTGCAGTGCAGTACGTTAAAGCAATGTCCTTTCTGTATGGACACAGGAAGACAGTTAATATTATGCTTTTGTAAGTTGGGAGTTAATTGAATAATATTCACTCCCAGGCATCTACTTTCTTGACTTAAGCCTCAGGTGCCCTTAGTTCTTAGCACCCCAAAAGCAGGGTCCTGAAGAGGGATTGAATGAACCCAGGGCAAGCTGTAAGCTACCCTGGCATCAACATGGGCCAGACCAAAGCACCACAACACTTAACTCTAAGTTGAGAGCATGGTCATGGACAAATTATGTCTGGATCCAAAAAGTAACGATGAGATTAGGGCCCTGCTAGGGTTAGGAAAGACTAATCTGGCCTGAGTACTGTAGTCTGAGATTTATAGCAAGATGGCCACAGGAGAGCAATCCTATAAGTTTAATGTATGTATCTCTTACTGTGTCCATACAAAATGATTAATATTATGAATGTTTATATGTTTGTTGGACAAAGAGAGGAGAAACACACCCATGGGATTCCACTCTTGGGTGGGTCGTCCTGCTGGATGAGAATCTGTCCTAGAAGAAGCTTCCCCTGAGGGAACGACTTTACCTCTGTTGATTGTGACCACACCTATGTGTAAACCCAACCCCTCAGGATTTGGGACTTAACTAAGGCTATCAGAGTGGGCTGGGGGATCCAGAAGAGAAGGAAGTAGAATGGGGAGAGAGAAGCAGAAGGAGAATGAGAGAAGAACAGGGATGAGATTGGAATAAACTGCAAATGATACCAACCAGCCTAGCTCTCGTTCCCTCCTTCATCCTCCCTTCACCATTGACCTCCCCAGGGTTGGGGAAGTGAAATCAGGCGGTGAAAGAGAGAGAGAGAGAGAGAGAGAGAGAGAGAGAGAGAGAGAGCCGCCATAGCCCTTTCATAATTTATTTTTTGAATATACACAATAAAGTATTTAATGAGGGACTTTAAAATTAGCAAAAATTTATTACAAAGGAGAGGGATTGTAGGATAACATTGGTTTGTCCTTTCTGCCTTGCCACTGAGAGCTTAGGTTTATTATGTTACTCCCATCACAGTGCTCCCATGCGTCTATGTTTTTTGTAATCTTTTTCTTTGTCCTCTGTTAACTTGTAAATATTGCTTTTCTTTTCATAAGTCCTTTGCATAGTTAATTGAGAGCAATGTCCTTTTTGTATAGACACAGGAAGACAGTTAATGCTATGCTTTTGTACTTGGGAGTTAATTGCTCTGAATGATATTCACTCCTGGGCATCTGTTCTCTCAACTTAAGCCTCAGTTGCCCTTACTTCCTAGCACCTCAAAAGCAGGGTCCCAATGAGGGACTGGATGGACCCAGGGCAAGCAATGAGCTACCCTGGCATCGAAATGGGCCAGGCCAAAGTGCCATAATACTTACCTCTAAGTTAAGAGCATGGTCTTGGACAAATTGTCATGATCCAAAAAGTAATAACTGGAATAGGACCCTGCTAGGGTTAGGAAAGATTAATCTGGCCTCAGCACTGTAGTCTGAGATCTATAGCAAGATGTCCCCAGGAAAGACACTCTTCAAGCTCAAAGTATCTCTTGCTGTGTCCATACAAAATAACTAATATTAAGAAGTAGAATTAAGATGCTAATTAAGATGTTAATTAAGTTATTGAACTAAGGAAAGGAGAAACACCCCTAAATGGTATTTTGTCCTTGAGTGGGAGAAGGGTTTTCATATGCTAATTGTGCTACCAGATGGGGTGTGGTGGCTACCCCCTAAGCTGGGGAGTTGGTGAGAGACTAGAGAGAGACCAAGGCAGCAAGATGGAGGACAGAGACTAGCAAGGGGGATAGAGGGAGAATAATGTAGGGGAAGAATGCAGGAGTAGGCGTGTGGAGAGATGAGAGACGAGGCTGCAAGATGGAGCATGGAGAGTGAGCAGAAGAGACAGCAGGAGTCTAGGATGAGGGGCAGTGTGAGACTAGAATGAGGAGCTTAGTGAAACTGGAACAGGTGTGTGGGGAGAACAGAATAAATGGCAACTGACCATCAACCAGCCTAGTGGCCCTCATTTCCTCCTTCGTCTACCCATGGCACTGGCTGTCCCAGGTGGGGAAGTGGTCCAAATTCACCAAATGCAGGCAGCAAGAGAGACAGCCACACAGGGTCTTGCTAGCTGCCCGGAGATCACACATTCAAATATGCAAAAGCATGGAAAAAATATCCACTAAATTTCAAATATTAAGCTAGTCAAGAAATGGCAAAGAATCTCATAGAGATATGGAAAGAAGGGTCAGAAATAGAAAAAAAAATACTGTAGGCCTAGTTTGGACTTTATTCTAAAAGCAATGTATTTTAAGCAAATGCATGTGATCACAGAAATATGAAATATAGATTTATGGGGGAAGCAACTAAAAGCAGAAAAAATTAGGAGATGCTATAAGAAATGGGGGCTGGAGCAATAGCACAGCGAGTAGGGCATTTGCCTTGCACGCAGCTGACCTGGCCAACCCGAGTTTGATTCCTCCGCCCCTCTCTAAGAGCCTGGCAAGCTATAGAGAGTATCCCACCCACATGGCAAAGCCTGGAAGCTACCTGTGACGTATTTGATATGCCAAAGACAGTAACAACAAGTCTCACAATGGAGACATTACTGGGCCCACTCAAGCAAACTGATGAACAACGGGAGGACAGTGCTATAAGAAATGAAGGTCTGAACAATCACTGTGACAAGTGAGAAAAGAAGAGGGAGAAAGAATTGAAATACCTCTTGTAGGACAATAGTAAGTATTTGGCAAAGAGGACTAATATGTTTCTGAAGTTTCGGGCTCTACTTCCATGTGCTTTCTATGGACATTTTCCTGGTGACTGACTAGAAATACATTAATACTGGGGGTGGGGATCACTGGTAGCAGGACTTGGGGAAACTATATGGAGAGCTGGGGATCAAACTGAGGTAAGCTGCATGCAAGACAAGCACCCTACCTACTATACTATCTCTCTACTCCCAAGCCTAATAATTGTTTGAAGAAACAATGACACCAATCTCACAGGAAGCTGGGACTGTTTGATCCCTAAAACCACCTTTGAGCTCCTATACTACATTGATAAGAAACAGGTCACAGAACCTATACAATTTGCAGCTATGATCCACTGTCTAACCCTCACTTTAGATGTTGTTATATTAGACAATGGACCAGTAAGATCCTCATGGAAAACTTAGGAGTTGGGAGAAAAGAGGGAAAATTTCCTATACTAAAGCAGAGCACTCTTAGGCCAACATGTAATTTTAGAAGTGGTTGTGAAGTAATTATTTGAACAGTGCTAAAAACAGCAACTCCAGACTTTTCTCTTTTTTTATTTTCTAAATAGGAAGTTGTAACTTCCATTGAGGTAGTGTTTTTCTTTCACCACTGTTTGTTAGGTTGTAGGGCTGCACAGGAAACATTTGAATGCCTGTGAGATTCTGGTCAGTAGGCCACAGCAGGCACTCCAGGGCTAGATGGGGAGCTCTGTGTATTACACAGACTCTCTAGAATCAGAGTTGGGTCCAGTGATAAGATGAATGTTTGGGGCCATCTCATGCAGAGAGGAGGTATATTCTCTGCTCAGAAAGAATAGCATACCCAGATAGTTGGGTAACTCAGAAGAGAGATTCAAAGATAAGTTGTATCATGATATAACCGCTTCAGCACTTTAAATGACTTTATAGCCCTACATATAGAAATAACAAGTCCTTCCCTCTAGTTAGCTACAAAACTATTAAATAAACAATAAAACTTAACTAGAAGATTCTTAACAACAGAGGGTGAGGTGACTTATGGGCAAGCACAGAAAAAACAAGAACTGAAAAAAGGGTCTTGGCCAGAGTTGTAAAGCACTAACTTAAAACGGCAGAGCAACCCACCAACCCTGAACTATGTGACTCTGTGATATCTCATTTAACACTCTATTTTGGGGGTCATCCACTAACAGTATCACTGTATCACTGTATCACTGTCCTCCCGTTATTCATCGACTTGCTCGAGTGGGCCCAGTAACGTCTCCATTGGAGACTTTGTTGTTACTGTGTTTGGCATATCGAATACATCACGGGTAGCTTACCAGGCTCTGCCGTGCTGGTGAGATACTCTCGGTAGCTTGCCGGGCTCTCCGAGAGGGGCGGAGGAATCGAACTCGGGTTGGCCATGTTGGCTGCATGCAAGGCAAACGCCCTACCGCTGTGCTATCGCCATACCACCCTGAACGCATCCACTAACAGTAACTTAGACTAAATTTTATATTGCACAAGTTGTTAGTTAGCTCTGGAAGGCGATAAGGACTTCTTTCTGAGACAAACTAAAGATACCCAGAAAATGGCTCAATGACTTAAATAAGGCATTTGCCTGGCTAGTACAAGGTTGAGATTTCAAATGTGTCACCACGTACACTGAAATGATCCTGATGTCCCTACACACTGGGGTACCTGGTGAGAGGAAAATGAAGCTAAAAACTAAGAAGAAAAGAACAAGTGTTTGAAGTACTTAGAAGAAAGTTGTGGCCCCTTAAACTGATTTCTACAATTTCACCTCTATATCCTCTCCAACTCATTACCTATTAGATACCAGAGTGATCTTTCTAAACCAAAACCTGACCATGTCAAATCACCACTGAAAATCTTCAATGCCCTCCCAATATGCAGCATGAAGTTTAATTTTTTTTACCATGGTCTATGTGGTCCTACATGATTTCTCTTCTATCTCCCTAAATTTAGTTTCATGCTGGCCATCAGTCACTGAGAACCACCAAAATATTTCCTAGAATTTCATGCCTGCTTACCATATCGATCTAGAAGTCCCTTCTCCTACCTAAAATATATCCTCTTGCTACCAACCTTCTAGAACTACCTGTGAATTTGACTATCTCCGTTAAACTATACCTCTAAGAGGGCAAACACTGCATTTCTTCTTATAATCTCATCATTAGGAAAAGTGCCTGGTAACAGTGAAATACTCAGTAAATACGTATGAAAGAATGAACCAAGGAATCTTATTTATCTCATCTGCATCAAGTGTTGCATATCCTAGAGCTGCATAGCACAGTCATTTTACATCTGAAACTTCTGAATCTTCCCTTAAAATATTAGTATCAATTTATGATAAACCTAACCAGATATTTTCTAAGCTGGTAAAAGTTACTGTTCTGTCATTTTATTCACATTATTTACTAAGAAGTTTTTCCCCTAGTTTTCTGCTGTTCCAGTGACAAATTTTTTATTGCTAGATGAGTCTTAGGCATATAATATTCCAACACTGATCCCACCACCTGTACCATCTTTCCTCCACCAGGGTTCCCATGCTCCCTCCTGTCTTTCCCACCCCCACTCACCACTCCACCCATGCCTATTACCTTGACAGACACATTTCAAAGTCTGGTATTTGTAGTTCAGATCTCATGTTTTCAATGTTGTTAAATCTGTACTTTAGATATACAGCTATACCACTCTCCAACATCACTGGCATATCCAAGGCCCCTGTCTCCTCTACCTCATTATTTCCCTTCTCATCTTCCTTCCCTCTCAATTTCTTTCCTTCTTTGTCCTTCTCCTCTCTATGGTCAAGGGTGATCTAACCATATCTCCTTTATACTACATTTCCTCGTCCAGTTATTCTCTATACCATAGATAAGTAAAATAATCCCATGTTTGTCCTTCTTCTGGTTTACTTCATTCAACATGGTATCTTCCAGTTACAACCAGGTGGTTACAATTAACAATATTCATTTCCTTCAGCCCTCTACCACATGCAGAGCAGAACTCACTTGCCATGTGAGTATGTTAGTTTGTTATTTTCAGAAGGTATCTTAGCCAGAATCTGTTCTGTCACCTCCAGGAAGTTTCCTCCACACCAAGCATGTTTGGCGAGAATAGTGGTTCCCCTTGCAACAACAGCAAACAGAATGGCCATGGCGTCAATCTATCAAAGAAAAAATACACAAAAGATTTAAAGTATTCATTTGATATGATCTCTTAAAAAGTCATCTACTATTATTCACCAATATCTACCTACAACTGCTATTGACAGAAGTGCTGTAACAATAAATGTAACAAACAATAGATTTAATAAGGTCAGTCTTATACAAACTTAAGTTCTAAATGAGGCTGAAACGCATACATGTAAAGAGACACATAAAATGTATGCTATATACAACAGATTAATGGATAGTTTTCATTTATCGGTTATACAGCATAAACTGATGGCATCACTTGAAAAATAATGAACATAACATAATTAAGAACTTAAAAATGCCTTCATCCTTGAATACAGCACTCTTATCCTGAAACTTTATCCTAGGAAAATAGTTCAATAAAAGTTAGATTAAAAAATTCCCTACGAATGCCCTGCCACAGAGGCAGGGTGGGATGGGGGGGATGGGGGGTGGGAGGGATGATGGAACCCGTGGTGGTGGAGGGTGGGCGCTGACGGAGGGATGGGTACTTGATCACTGTATAACTGAAACCCAAGCACAAAAATTTGTAAGTCTATAACTGTACCTCATGGTGTTTCACTAATAAAAAAAAATCATAATGCCTAAAAACCAAACATTGTTAGACTGTGAAATTCATTAAAGAATAACTCAAATTTCCAAAAAAAAATTCCCTACAAACAATACTAATATCCAAAAGAGTTATAAAGTGCTACTACGTGCCAGATACTGTTTCCATTAATCAAGTACTTTACAATTATTAACTGATTTAATCCTCACATTAAAGAAATGATATACTATTATACTTAAATTATACATGAGGAAACTGAACTACAAATGACTTAGTCTGTCCAAAATTAGAGCTACAAAGTGATAACCTAGAATTTAAATACAGAAAGTAGGGTTCTATAATTCACAGTTTTAACCCTAACCTGTACACTGCCTCTAATAGAAAGACATACACAATAGAAACACAGTGAAAATAACCCAAACCTTCAGTATTTCTTCTTCATTCCTCCCTAAATTTGCTCGAGCTACCGAGAGTATTTGATATGCCAGACACAGTAACAACAAAGTCTCCAATGGAGACGTTACTGGGCCCGCTCGAGCAAATCGACAATCAACGGGAGGGCCTTTACCTTTACCTTACCTTACCTCCCTAAATAAGGGTTTCCTCAGGGTTATGTCTTCAGCCATCTTCTTGCTGGATTTTTCCTTATACAGAAGTACCAGGTTATAGCTTCCAATCCTCTTTATTTGCATTATAGCTCTTGATTCTAAAAGTTTACACTGACTTGTAATATACCTCAAGTACTGCACAATCTCCCAAAGAGGAATCAAAAGAGCTATGCTTGGAGTATCACGTTTCACTCAAATGAGAGAAAGAATCCAGAATTCCAACCTTCGTCAATGATCAAGAATCAGGGACGCTATCTCATTTGCCAAGGCGTCAAAAATCAGATGGGTGGGACACGTAATGAGATTTGGAGACCACTGCTGGACTAGAGCCATTACCGACTGGATTCCACAGGACGTCAAAAGACCGCATGGCCGCCCACCTACCAGATGGTCAGATTTCTTCATCAGGACCCTGAATGATCAGTTTGAGGCTGTTCATGTTCCTAGAATGAACAGACGCCACTGGGCTACACTAGCACGCGACAGGGACAAATGGAAACGTTACTGGCGCCCGGTCAAGCAAATCGATGAGTAACGGGAAGTCAAGTGATCAAGTGACTGCACAATCTCATCAAAAAACAGTTTACACACTGTATTTCTTTATGTTCTGTTACCTTTTTTTAAATGCTAAATCTTTTTTTAATTAAATCACTGTGAGATAGTTAGTTTCAGTCATACAATGATTGAACACCCACCCCTCTACCAGTGCACATTTCCCACCAACAATGTCCCCAGTATCCCTCTCAACACCCACACCCCATCCCATTCCCTGCCTCCGTGGCCCGCACCTTCCTTCTTTCTCTCTACTTTTGGGCATCATGGCTTAATTGCTAAATCTTCCATTTACTGTAATCTGGCATTTCCCCCTTAACATTCTACAAAAACAGGTCTGTTAAGGTCACTAACAGCATTTACATTGTAAAGTTCTCATTCATTTCTCCATTTTTATTTTATTTAACCACACAGGAACAAGCAATACTGCTTAACCCTCCCTCTTGAACTGCTTTTGAATGTGCCTTCTGTTTTATTACTTAGTTGTCCTCTAGCTGACCTCGAAACATTACATTTCCACAGGGATTCATTTCTGTTCTTATCAAAAGTTCATCCAGACCTGCCATATTGTATATGACTTATTTGCTACAGATATATTCCCCAGTGGGAAAAAACCCAATTATACAATCAAAGGAGTGAAAAAACTGAAGTTAAAACTGAGGTATAATAGTTCGGGTGAAAGTAAATGATAAAAAGGGACCAAAAAAGACAGCCAGAAGAGTATGGTAACCTGGAAGCCAAAATGAAAGGGATTTTCAAGAAAGATCAAGTGTCAGCAATTAGATGTGCTCACTGTTCACTGATGCATAGTATGAGGACTGTAAAATAGGACTGAATTTTATAAGGAAGGAGGTCACTGGTTAGGATCAAAGAGAATGTTAAGGAACAGAACAAAAATATAAAGAGAAAGAGGAGAAGACAACAAATTATATGGTCTTTGTGACAGATGGAAAAGTAGCAGACTCGTACCTTAAAAGCTTAAAAAAGATACCTGAGTTGGGCAAGAACAACAAAAAATGACTTATTGTTAATGGGCCACAGTTTCATTATGAGCTGACATGAAGTAACTGCAACTAATTTTTTTGGTTTGTTTTTGAGCCACACCTGGCAGTACTCAGAAATCACTCCTGGTGGACTCCAGGGACCATATGGGGTGCCTAGGATTGAATCTAGGTCAGCCAGGTACAAGGTAAATGTCCTACCCACTGTACTATCACTCCAGCCCTGAAACCAGTGTTTTTAATATTTTGTATTTTTATTTTGATATCATTAAAAGTCTACTAATCTTAAATTACATCAATTAAAAACACTGGCATAATAGAAAAAGGTTTTGGAACATTATATGTCTGAAACTCTATTATAAACACATACATTTATAAAACCACACTAGGTGAAATAAATTTGAAAACAAATACTAAAAGTCAGATATTGTGACTCAGATCATTATTATTAGTATGCAAATGCTAAAAAACTGCCAAGTGCTATAAAAACATAAGGTACTATTCAAGAAGAAAAAAAATAAAAATATAAGCCAGAGAAGAGGTAAAATCACAATGAAATATAAAGTGACGCCCTATCTCAACACTGCTTCTCCCAGCTTTCTTGCATACTCCTTTCGTGATCCCAGAGCATTAATCCCAATTCTACATCATCTCTGCTAAGATACTGTATGAGTTTCCTATAATTACAATGACAAAGCACCAAAAGATGTATGGCTTAAAATAACAAATTTATCCTAAATCTGCCCAGAAGTCTAAAATCATGATATCATTAAGGCCATACTCCCTCTGAAATCTGCAGGGGAGAATTCTTCTCTTCTAAACTTGTGATATTCCTTGGCTTGCAGCTACAGCACATAAGTCTCTACTTAAATCATAACTTGGTGTTCTTCATGTGTGTCCACATCTTCACGCAGTATTATGCACATCTTCTTTTATGGATGCTGACTCCAGGATGACTTTATTTGATTTTATATCTTAACTGGGTGAAATACTCTCGGTAGCTTGCAGGGCTCTCCAAGAGGGGCAGAGGAATCAAACTCGGCTTGGCCAGGCTGGTGGCTTGCAAGGCAAACGCCCTACCACTGGCAAGCTACCCGCGACGTATTCAATATGCCAAACACAGTAACAACAAGTCTCACGATGGAGACGTTACTGGGCCCGCTCGAGCAAATTGATGAAGAACAGGAGGACAGTGCTACAGTGCTATATCGTAACTACACCTAAAAGACCCTGTTTCCAAATAAGGTCACATTCATAAGCTCCAGGGGTCAGGATTCAATATATCTTGTTTTTTGGGGGGAAGATGGGGGGGTGGGGAAACACACCTGGTGATGCCTAGGGGTTACTCCTGGCCCTGCACTCAGGAATTACTCCTGGCAGTCTCGGGGGACCATATGGGATGCCGGGGACCGAACCTGGGTTGGTGGCAAGAAAGGCAAATGTCCTATCCATTGTACTATCGCTTGGGCCCCAACATCTCTTTTTTTTAAAAGATTACAACAGATTTCCATCTGAGAAACTCACTGTTCCTCCAAAACTACCCTTCTCCATTCTGCCCCTATTCACATCATTCCAACTTATATTCCTCTCACCTTAAAAACCTCTATCTATTTCTTTATTCAGGGGCTTATCCTTAAAGCTGAGGGCCAGAAAGGCAACCTCCAACAGCATGACCTTAGAAAGGTCAGTTTACACTATTTAGAAGGTGACATACCTATATGTACAATAATTTTACACAGGAACTTTTGGTACATATCTGTTAGTAAGGAACTGTCTATTTTTTAAAAAAAATTGTTAATAGCCTAGCAAATACTGCAAATACTTCTTGGTGGAGGAATCAAATAGGTGAAGATGGTTTCAAAGAACTATAGAGAAATGGCCATATTAATGTCTCTCATAACTAAGTTCATGTGTTCTGAGAAAAGTTTTAAATCTATTTTTGTTTTGATAACATGAAAAATGGACATGAATATTATGATGATCCATACATAAATCTTATGAATGAGTCACGTCGCAATTTAGTGATGCATTTGTATTGAGTTCTGCAAAATGACAATGTTCAATTTTTAATGTATTAGAAGCATGTTAGGAATGAGATAATAATATTATTATCTCATTCCTACTTTGGACAAACTTGCAGGCTATCGAATGTAGCCTGCCCACACGGCAGAGTCTGGCAAACTCCCCGTGGCGTACCAAATATGCCAAATACCAGTAACAATGATGGGTCTCATTCTCCTAAAGAGCCTTGAATATAATCTCAGGGCTAGGATGAAAGAGACGTTACTGGGGCCTGCTCGAGGCAATCGACGAATAACAGGATGATGAAATGAAAATGAAAAAAAAAAAGAAGCATGTTTGACTATTGGATATCAACCCTAAGTGTTTTAGGCTTCACCAATGAATTGCCCCTTTCCTCCTCCCAGAGAAGCTTACCATACCCTTGCTAACATCCCTAAATTGGTTAAAGTCTATCTTCAACCTTTCCTTTGTGTTGGATATTGACCCTAAGGGGCTGGAGAGATAGCACAGTGGGTAGGGTATTTGCCTTGCATGTGGACAACCTGGGTTCAATTCATTCGTCCCTCTCAGAGAGCCCAGCAAGTTACTGAGAGTATCCCGCCCGCACAGCACAGCCTGGCAAGTTCCCCGTCACATATTCGATATGCCAAAAACAGTAACAACAAGTCTCACAATGTAGATGTTACTGGTGCCCGCTCAAGCAAATCGATGAACAACAGGAGGACAGTGCTATAGGACACTGCTACTGACCCTAAGCACTTTAGGCTTCAACAGTGAATTGCCCCCTTTCTTCCTCCCAGAGAAGTTTAACATGCTCTTGCTAGCATCCCTAACTTAGTTACAATTTATCTTTAATCTTTCCCTTGTTTTTTACCTCTAATTCTCATAGTTCACCAAGTCAGTCTTGATTACTTGTAAGCCAAATATTTCTGGTAATGCTGAACTTGTATTTGTACTTCTTTGTATTTGAAGTGCTGTCTATTTGTACCTGCTTTTCTATTTCCCCTATAGCCTTTTATATTTTACTATAGAGCAATGTTCTTTGGTAAACACAGGTAAAGGTAAGGCCCTCCCGTTGTTCGTCGATTTGCTCGAGCAGGCCCAGTAACGTCTCCATTGGAGACTTTGTTGTTACTGTGTCTGGCATATCAAATACGTCACGGGGAGCTAGCCAGGCTCTGCCGTGCGGGCGAGATACTCTCGGTAGCTTGCCGTGCTCTCCGAGAGGGGCGGAGGAATCGAACTCGGGTCGGCCATGTTGGCTGCGTGCAAGGCAAACGCCCTACCGCTGTGCTATCGCTCCAGAAAGACCATTAATGCTATGCTCCTAATAGTTGGAAGTTGATTGACTCTGAAATATATCTGCTCCTGGGCATAATTACATGGTCATAATTACTTGACTCAGGCTTCAGTTGCTGTAGTTCCTAACCAGTCCCACCGTGGGACTGGGTGGATGTGGGGCGAGTGGCAAAGCTACCCGGCATTGAAATGGGTACATTCTAGAACGCATAAATGCATGAACTTGATGCAAACTGTTACAACTTAAAAGACAGAACCCCCATGGAGAAGGACAAGCTGAACTGGCCTAAGGACTTAGTCTGGGGCTTATGGTTAAAAACCTCGCTTGCTCTCAGCCCAGAGAACTAAGTGTTGGAATCTTTATCTCTTACTGTGATTATCCAAATAACTGCAAGTATTGATAACTTATACTAGAGGGAAAGATAAAAACAATGTAGATGTCCCTGGAAGACAGTATCTTCTTGAGTTGATCTCCCCAAGAGAGTTTTCTCTGCCAAATGTTTATCTATGTAAATGATCATCATATCTATGACCTTACCTCAACCCCCCTTTCAGATGTTCTATAAGTGTGCTAGCAACTATGCATTAAACGGGCTTTTCACCATCAGGCTGTGGTCCCAGTCTCCCCAACTCTCCATCTCTCTGTTGGGGATACCTGGGGAGGTGGGGAGGCGGGAAGGCAGCTCTGGGTCACCAAAAGCATACACACATCGCAGCAGCAGCCCCCAGTTTACTTTGTATACTCACATTTGACTATTTTTAGGAGTGCACATTCTAGATTCATAATGACAAGGATAGATAACTCAAACACTCTTGTACTCCTGATGTGCTTTTAATCAATCATGAAGGCAAAATTTACAATTTTGTTTGTTCATTTGTTTTTGGGTCATACCCAACAATACTCGGATGACCATGTGGTATTGGGGATCTAAACCAAGGCTCACAGATGCAAAGCAACCACCTGAGTCTGAGCCATGTCCCTCTCTCAGAATTCATCTTCTTTCAGGAACAATTTACAACTGAAAGATATCTGCATAGAAAAAAAATCTTTTAAGATTTAGACTTTTTTCTGACATTTTGAAAGTGACAGTGTGCCAGAAAAACCCATTAACATCAATTATTACAAACTAAAGGTGGAAAATACTCAAAGATGTGTTGGTACCAAGAGGAAACCAAATAATAAGATGGTGTGCAACTGCTCAAAAAACCCCAAAATATGGAAGACTTAACTCATCACAAAGCACACAGTAATAGTCAAAATAAAATAAAATAAAATACTCTATGAGGATGTACTATGTTAATCCATGCAAAAGTTCATTAGCAGAACGTTTTACAGGAAATACAAAACAGACATTAAATTCTCCACCCACGATCATGGAGCATACTATTAAACTGGCTCATTAAACTCAATGGAAGAGCAGACTGCAAGGTGTTTAGAACAGAAACTCATTTTGAAGCTGTTTAACTCATTTTGAAGCATTTTGTAGCTATTGAACAAAGTAAGATATAGAAGTTTGAGCAGGTTAGGGGATGTAACCTAGTCTGGGATTAAATGTTCCATATTTAGTGAATAAGAAGGCATAGGGCCATATTTAGTGAATAAGAAGGCATAGGGAAAAAATCTAATGAACTTCTATAAGGAAGGCCTTGTACAGATAAGGTTATTTGGATTGGACTAGCCTTCTTATTTTAGTACAATATATGTTCTAAGGGTTTACTTTATGACAGCCATCTCAGTAAGCACCGGAGGTAAAAAATCAGTACAAAAGGATCTCTATTTTCAAGGAAACTATACTACAACCTGTTAAACAATAAACAAAAGCAAGAATATGCAATAAAGTGTACATAAATAGGAATCTACACAACTCTTGAGGAGAATCCTTAAAGTCTTGTAATTTTCCCACCTCGAATGAAGAAAAAATAAATTTAGGTGTCCTATGTATTGGAAATTTCCTCCATTATGGTTACAATTATTTCTCCTGGGAAGAGAGGTCAAAGTACCAATTTTACCCTCACAAGGTTCCCAACACTGAGTATAGTGCCTGGCATATAATATTCATTCAAGCTTTTGTTGAATAAATGATTGATGAGCATGTTTCAGGTTTCAAATATAATGTAAGTGATAAATAACTTCATATTAAGTAAAAGGTAGAAATATTTTGAATACCAAATTATCTCCTTGGTAAAATTAAAAAGTTGAACTGAGAGTAATTCAATCACCAACTCTCCTACTTGGGTCTAAGAGGATGTAAGCCCAAGAAATTATGATTTAATAACTCTGGAGGCAGAAGAATGAAACCAAAGTTCATGTAACAAAAAGAAACAGTGTTTATGAAAAGTAGTCACAGATCTAGACTACTCATGTTGATAATTACAAATATTTTAGGTAATGTTCCGAGACCCAATTCAATTATTCTTTCTGAAACTGGAGCTCAGTCTTTCAAGAAAACTACTGTTATATTTTGCATTAGCCATCACCATGATATTCATCTTGATCTTCCCTGTTCAACCTCACACACATACAGACATGTTAGGCACAAGTAGTAGAGTTCTCTGACTTGTTTCAGGTATGTCTTGCACTTAGAAGTCTCTAGGATATCAGTCACTCAACATACGAGTGGGTCTGCTGGTTTCTAACATCTCAGAGCTTAGTACACATACTTGTTCCCTGGAATTTCGATTCTAAAGAAAATTTTATCTGCTAAAGGAGAATTTACTTTATTTTAAAAACAGATAAAAAAAACTTAAATGCAACCTTTAAATTAACAAATAATTATTATGCACATCAAAAGCATGAAAGTATCCTGTGATCATATGTCAATGTAGGCACAAGTAGTTGAGAGCAATTAGTAATGTAAAGAGAAATTAACTTGGTAAGTGATTGTTTTGAGGTTTATGGGCGAGGGATATATATCACTTGCCAAAGAGTAATGGACAGAGTTTCTTAAATATCGGCTAATAAGATTAACAACGTAATGGCCTGACGCCGAGGAATTAACCCTTTCGGAAGTGAGGAAAAGGGCTGTCTACACAAGGTGGAGAAAGAAGGGTGTACAGAAAGCTTACAAAGAAGCTCAGAAGTAGGAGCTGAAGCAGAAAGTGACGTCATCATAGAAACAAGGACACAGATGGGAGCTAAAGAATCAAGTCATCTCAAGAGATTAAAAGCAATATTTCACAGAAGAGGAATCAAGGGAAAGTTAACATTCCCTCCCCCTGTAATAAGTGACGTATTCTGACACTCTTTAGCTCAGGGTCTTTTAAACGGCATAGAACGCAGTTAACCAAAACTGTACCTGCCGGTCAATTGGAATTGTTGACATCAAAGAAGCCCGAGTCACCCTTGCACTACCTCCTTCCTCCACCCAACATCTTCCCTCAACACCTTTGCCCTCCCTCCATGGTCGTTTCCCCACTTTCCGCCGGTCACACCCTGATCCATTTACCTGTCCGGGCACCCTCTGCGAGCGTACGGGCCGAGGGCAGACTAGTATGGGTCAGCACTGATGATCGGGGGATATCGCCTACAGTCAGCTCCCAGATAGGACTGGGACGGGACGCCAACGGCTTCCGCGTAAAGCGCCCCGCCCGCGCGAGGCCTCCTGGGAAAGTCAGCGTTTCTCCAATGAGAACGGGCAGTGGAAGGGGCCTGAGCCGCACTGCATTCCGGAACTGGTAGTTCCAAATGGCCAATCCGCCAGTTTCTCAAGAGTTCTCTGTCTTGTTCACGATATGTCTCGCTCTTGCACTATTTTTTCCAATCTCTTTTGGAGTAACTCTCTCCTCCCTCTCCCTTTTCACGCTCTCCTCTCTCTTACCTCTTTCGCCCCCATCTCACCTCTTTCCCCTCTTGCATTTCTCCCTTCTGAGTCTCCTCCCACTCTCCCCTCTCATCTTTCTCATCCCTCTCTCCTTCCCTCTCTCCCCCACCTCCCCCTCCTCTTTTCTTTTCCCTCTCTTTCACCTCCCTCTTTTTTTCTATGCTCCTTCCCCCGTCTCTTCTTACCCTCTCCTCTCCCTTCCCTTCCCCTCGCTGACCAGGTAGAAGAGGTGGGGGGAGGAGTGATGGGGTTCTCTCTCCCCACACTTTTTTTCTGTTCCAGAACCTCACAAGTGCAAGACAAGTCCTTTACCACTGATCAACATTCTGGCATTCTGGCCCCCTTTCTTTTCTTTCTTTGGCGCACTCATCAATAATTCTTGAGAGAAACATCAAGCACCTGAGGATCCCGGAAAACGAGAGGAGATGCAGGTACATAAAGAGAACACCAGCATTTAGTACATAGGATAAATGAATGTATCTTTCCACGTTTAGCCCCAGCAGCTATAGCCACCTATTATTTCACAGAAAGAAATACAATTCATCTTACAGGAAGTGTTTCCTACCATTGTCACAAAATGTTCTAATCTTGTGTCCCTCATTCTGGGTCAATAATAATAATAATAATAATAATGGGGCAAAGTAAGTGGCTCAAATGGTAGGTGATGGATTATAGTTCTAAGAATTTTAAGAAGTAATGTTGGTTTGTCCTTTCTCCATTCACAGGAAGCTTAGGCTTATTGAAATATTCCCACCGCAGTGCTCCCAATTCCTTGAGGCAGACAAAATCCTCTGTGTTTATCTTTGACCTCTCCTTTGTGCTCTCTCCCCTTATCTTTTATTCACAAATATCCCCAAAATCAGACCCTGTGACCTGCAAAGTCAAATACTTCTGAGGGTCCTGCATTTTGCATATGTAAGTGCTATATTGCTTTTCTGTTTCCTTTATGTCTTTTGTATAGTTTAGAGCAATGTTCTTTTTGTATAGACACAGGTAGACAGTCAATGCTATGATTTTGTAACTTGATCACTTGACATCCCATTACTCATTGATTTGCTCGAGCAGGCGCCAGTAACGTCTCCGTTTGTCCCTGTTGCGTGCTAGTGTAGCCCAATGGCGTCTGCTCACTCCCGGAACATGAAGAGCCTCAAACCAATCGTTCAGGGTCTTGACGAAGAAGTCTGACCATCTCGTAGGTGGGCAGATACTGATCTTTTGACATTCCATGGAATCCAGTTGGTAATGGCTCTAGTCCAGCAGTTGTCTCCAAATCGCATTATGTGTCCAGCCAATCTGATTTTTGACGTTTTGGCAAACGAGACAGCGTCCCTGATTCTCAATCGTTGACGGAGGTCGGAACTCCAGATTCTTTCTCTCACTTGAGTGAATCGTCATACTCCAAGCATAGCTCTTTCAACAAACATTAGCTTTTGTAACGTGAGAGTTAATTGACTCCGAATAATATTTATTCTTGGGCATTCATCATATTTACTTGATTTAAGCCTCAGTTGCCCTTAGTTCCTAACACCCCAAAATGGAGTGGGGGTCCTGGCAAGGGACAGGGATGGACCAAGGGTAAGCTGTAAGCTACCCTGGCACTGAAAAGGTTAAGTGCCATAAGAAGTATAATAAGTTAAGAGCATGGTCATGGAACAAACTCTGCCATGACCCCAAAAGAAGTAACTGAATAAGGATCCTTCTCGGGTTAGGAAAGACTAACCTGGCCTGACGACTATAGTCTGGGACATATAGTGAGATGTCCCCAGGAAGAGCCACCCTTTAAGTTTAATATATCTCTTACTGAATCCATACAAAATGGCTAGACATATTAGTAAGAAGTAAATTTAAGATGATTGTTTAAGTGGATACTGGCTAAGGAAAGGAGAAAGCAATACATCCTTGGATGGAATCCCACCCTTGAGCGGATCTCCTAGCAAGAAACTAGAGTGCAAGCACTTAGATGAGATTTTATCCTTGGGTATCTCCTAGGAGAACTTCCCCTGGAGCAAGGGCTTTACATCTGTTCATTGTTTATTATAATGTTCAGCCTCAGTTGCTTAAATTACCTATGTGTAATTGCTACCCCAAACCCTTCATTATTTCTCTATAACTAATGCTGTGAAACTTGAATAAATGGCCACTGATTACCAACAAGTCTGGTGGCCCCCGTTCCTTCGTTCGGCTCGCCAGGGGATGATGATCAACTCCAAACACACTAAGGGGACCCTCAGGTCACCGCGGGCATGCCAGTGACCACCCACACAAGAACAACAATAGAGCACTTGTGAGGTCCAGCATGTCTTTTACCACCCTTTAGAATGGTAGCCCCCCAAATAACCCCAAAATGCAACTAAAATAACAATAAACAAGGATTATCCTTTTATCTAAGAAGCTGTGTGCTCAAGATTTGTCATTGTCCCTCCACTTTCTTTTTTTATTATTATCTGTACTTAAAGAGTGGTAGCATTTCTCTCACCCAAAGCATTCCAAAGTCCCATTTCTAAAACCTGCAGACCCTCTCCTGATCTCAAATCCTTCACCACACAGACTGAAGCTTTTGGTATTTCTTCCATAATTACATTTCCAGTAAAAATTCTCAACAGTATTGCTAAAACAAATAGACACTTTTCAGCCATTTTCATACTTCAAATATGCTGATTTCACGTTGTTTTCTCCTTCTTGAAAACTTCTCTGTCAGTTTGGGTAATGTTTAACAAAATATCATAGGTTGGGTGTCTTTTAATAAAAATTTATTTATCACAGTTAAGAAAGCTAGAAAGTTTCACATGAGACTGACAGAGTAGTCAGATTCTGGCAAGGACCTACTTCCTGGCTTGTGTATTGTCTTATCTCTCAAATCTCTAAGAAGGGTACTGTGCCTATTCATAAGAAGCTCCACCTTCCTGGCCTAATTACCTTCCAAAGTCTCACCTACAAATACCATGACATTGGGAATCAGGAAGTCACAATATAAATTGGGTTGGAGACACATTAACTTCAAAATACCTTCTATTTTCTTAGTTCTTTCTAAGATGATGCACTCTACTCTCTTTTCCTGGGTCCCCATGTGCTATAGGACTGTACCCTATTTTCTCTTCTTACTATTTTTATTCACAATTTTCTTGGATAACTTTAACCATTTCACTGCTTTAGTTGTCAATTGTTGGTGACAATTCTAAGATATGGAAAGTCTAGGCAGGATTTGCAATGATCCAGACTGAGGTATAAATGGTACCTGGGCACCTAAAACTGAAAATAGTCCTTATCTGATTTAATACATTCCCATTCTCCTTTTCATATAGTCTGTTACATCTTCCCCAATTCCATGATAGAGTGAAACAGTCATGCAATCAGTTTCCCATGCCAGAAACTTGGGTACTATTTTGAATGTTTTTAGACCCTTAAAGTTCACATGCAAACAACCAGCAAGCTATATTAATTCTCTTTAATTATCTCATTAGTTAGAATTTGGTTTTCCCAGATTTAAATAATAATAATACCTGTATTCAAGAGTTGTTTTGCTAATTACTAAAGAGAAATGACAAGCAGAATGTAAGCAAAGACAAAAAGAAATATTTATTGAACAAGGATTGTGCTTGTCATCAGTTCTTCATTAGGCCTTATAAAATGATAGCTAGCACTTATTTTTATGAGTTTATATTTAGAGAGAATATTTTATGATGTATCATACTTTAGCTATTGTGTTCAGTTCTAAGTAGGTTATAGATCAACTGAAGCACATTTAAAAAACCATGAATAAAATGATCTGGGCACTAATAATGTGTAATGTCTTCGTACCTATACTGTTTCCTTCCCTTTTTTTCCACCTCACCCCATTCAACATCACTTGAGATTACTTTACCCACAATAAAATCTGATCACTTGAAAACACCATTTTAACTGTTTGTTGGCTCCATATCATATAGAGTTTTACGTCTATGATTCTCAACAGAGACTTAAGTCCTTCCATAGTCTGGACTGTATTTACTTCTACTTAGTATTCTTTCTTGTTAGTTTGTTTTTTGACCACATCCAGCTCTGCTTAGGGTTCAGGGATTATCCCTAGGGATCACTCCTGGAAGTGCTTCAGGGAAGATATACAGTGCATAAGATTCAACTGGGGTCAGCCATGTGTAAGACAATCTGCTTCATGTTCTTCTCTCACCAACACATCCTGTGTTCAAGCCTATTCCTGTACTATACATCTAATATTTGGATTAAAATATCCAATCCTTCAATAACTTATAGTAAATGAGGCTATGAACCAGACCTATTCTGGATGCAGAAGATATATCAATGAACGACACAATGTTCTTGCCCAAATAGAGCTTAAGTGCCATGTACTTTTATCTCTCAATGTTTTTGTACATGTTGCCTCCTTTGTCTAAATCATGTTTTTTCAATAATGATCTCAAAAATGCCTCTTTATTTTTAATCAAAACACTTCTTTTTCAGTTTTATCCACCATTTTCAAATGTACACAATTTATGTTAATATTAGCTTTATTTGATATCTAATTATTCAAAGACAGCATTTTATCTTAGAAAAAGAATGAGTTTTGGATCCTAAGGGTCCTGAACTATTCACATTGTGAACTCTAAATGTTGCCTCAATTTAGAATCTTATCAAAGCTCCTCTTTTAATGCTTTATTTTTCTATGATCCAGAGTTTGTGTCTCAAACACAATTCTATTTTATTTTTAATATTTTGTTCAGTAATACTTAT